TGTAAAGGTGTTTTGGGGGATTAAAAAAAAATCTTTATACCTCTTCAGACCTTGCTGAAAACTGGAGTGAGATCAAGAAATACGTTACTTGATGGATGTGTTAACTAACCTTATTGTGGTAATCATTTCCCAATATATATGTGTATCAAATCTTCATGCTGTACACAATGTTATATGTCAGTTATATCTCAATAAAGCTGGGAGAAGGAAGGAAATTAGATTAGTGATTGCCTAGGGCTGGGGTGCGGGAGAGGATGGGAAGATTAGGAAGTGATAACTAAAACATATGGGATTTCTTTTTGGAGTGATGAAAATATTCTAAAATAGATTATGGGGATGGTTGCAAATTCTGTGAATATGCTAAAAACCATTGAATTGTACACTTTAAATGAGTGCATTGTATGGTGTGTAAAATACATGCTGTGTGATTTATATCTCAATAAAGCTTCCCCCCCACACAAAAAAGAAATACACTCACTGAGTTAGAGGATGCATCCATTTAGCTTTTAGTTCTCAGAATTTTGTACTCAAAAATTCTAGCGCATTTGACCTAAAGTGCAAAGTTAGATCAATGTTTATAATAAAAAAAAAATCTTAAGGGTTTCGTAGACGTACGCATCTGGGGGGAGAAAAGAGGGAGCTGCTCAAAGGAAAAGTTCAGAGGGGTTATATTGGTTAGATGAGATTCAGAGTAAAACAAACACTTAAGTGCCTTAGTGGTTGGAGGGAAATTACTCAAGACAACAGAGTGAGTTTTTTTTTTTTATTCTCAATAATCACATATCTAAAAAGTCTTATAATATATAAAGAGCCCTCACTATATTGGCTTCTTTAATCTTTATAAAAATTCTTTGATAGAAGAGGGACAGATTTTTGTCTGTAAAGATAATGTCATTACAATATTGGGCATCATTTAGAATTATAGCAAACAAAAAATTAATAAGCGTTATTTTCTTCTCATCCCAAGCCTTGGTATTTGTACCTGGGAAACTCCCTACATTTCTGGTTACTGTGTTTAAAGACCTAATAGAATTGGAGAAAATCCAAAAAATTTCAGTTCAATTCAAGTATTGTTTTAGTGCCAAGTCTGTGTCATTCACTGTCTTAAGGGATCCTGCAAAGAATATGATCCACTAGTGGTCCTCAAGGAGATCATAGTGTAAAGGGGAGAAAAATTGTGAATAAGGAGAATACTGTGGGATACAAGTAACAATAAAGGTCTGCAGTGTACAGAAGTTGCAGAGAAAAGGGTCAGGAAAAAAATTCTCAAAGGATAGGACAAGAGACTCCTCTGAACGAGGATAGTATGTCATCAGGTGGACAAAGGGACCTAGGATATTTGAGAGAGAAGGAAATGCTCATATAATGCTCAAGAAGTGTGAAATATCATGGTGTATTCATTATAATAATATATACTAGTTAATAATATACTGTTTATAATTCACTGAATTATAAATAGTTCAGTGTTCATGAAACGTAGTTGTAAGTGGTTGAAAATGAGGTGACAGAGTTTTGCAGGGACTAGTTAATTCATCAGCAACACAAATCAAATTCGTATTTTTTGACTGTCACTCTGGAGGGAACTCTGCTGGCAGGAGAGACATTACCTAAGAGGTTCCTGAGGACTTCCAGGCAGGAGATGATAGGGGCCTGCATCGAAGAGAGGACTGTTAGGGATGGAGAGAAGTCAGATATAAGAGAGATATAAGAGAGAAGACATATTGAATGGGGTGCTTGATTCATTGTGGGGTAATGTAAGAAGAAATTGTTCAAATATGTAGGGCTGGAGGAACTACTGCTTTATGAAGAAAAGTTAAACTATTAGGTATTTCAGTCTGTGGAGAGGTAAAGGCTGGGGAAGAGTAAGATAAAATTCTCACTTTGAAGTCTGTAAATTGAATAGAGACTGGATTATCAATGACAGCCAGAACTCGAAGTCACCCCTTTACGCACAGAGAAGGTAAATACGGGATCAATAGGAGAAATCAATACTTCATAAAGCAGGCGTTAAACTTATGGAAACTTAGGTCCTATTTCCCCCAAGTATGAATGTATTCAACGTAAGTTTAGTTAATTATGGAAAGATAAGCTTACATTGTTATTAAGAAATCAGGCTGTTCTGAATGTGAACCTGATATTTTGAAGACTCTTCAGTAGTTGGGCCATAGGTTTGATTCAGAATTAAAATATTTGTAAATAGATTAACATCCCAGAAAGTGGTTACAGAAGCAATTAAAAAGAAAAACTGTATTGATTTTTAGAGTTTGATGTTCTTGAATAGTGGTTCTCAAACATTTTAGTCTCACTCTTTATACTCTTAAAACTTACTGAGGACCCCAAAGAGCTTTTATTTATGTAGGTTATATCTATTGATACTTATTATTATAAACTAAAACTGAGAATTTTTTTTAATTGATGTTTTAATAGTTTTTAACATTGTGAGATTTTGGGTTGTACATTTTTGTTTGTCCATCACCATATATATGTCTCCTTCACCCCTTGTGCCCACTCCCCACCCCCATTGCCGCTGGTAACCACAATACTGTTTTCTCTGTCCATGTGTTGGTTTATATTCCATGTATGAATGAGATCATACAGTGTTTGTCTTTCTCTTTCTGGCTTACTTAACATAATACCCTCCAGGTCCATCCATGTTGTTGCAAATGGGACGATTTTGTCTTTTTTTATGGCTGAGTAGTATTCCATTGTGTATAT